GAGTGCAGCTTTAGAAACTAAAGTGTGCATCCATATGCATCAAGACAATTGAATTCAATGCATTTCCCATGTTTCAAGCATAATGCATGTATTCCAACAGTCATAAGGTATGCACCATATCATAAACCATGCAACATAGTATTAGCAGCATATTCATACTGATTCAATTGCCTATGTAAAGAAAACTCTATGGTCACGCGTCGTCAGGTGACGAGGCTCAAATATCATATTGACTATGATTTTACCTCAAAGATCAAATCGGTTGTGATTAAGCCTCAAAATGGAACCAGTCCATGCACATGTATGTCATATCCTGTCTCAATACGTTGGCTCCCAAGAAGTATCAAATCCATATCTCAATACAACGTGCTGGCATCAAAAAAGTTACTAGGATTGTTACTTGAAAAGAGGCTTCTGTACCTTTTATTTTTTGGTAATATGAAGTGGGTTTTGGCATTCTTAGAGCACACAAATAGAATTTACAAAGGGGGTGTATGGGTGTATTCCCATCTCATACGATATAATGCGCACCCGTGATTTACGTGCCGTGTGAGAAACGGATGCATGAATCCAGCATAGCTAATAATTTCAGAGGATCTAATCATCGCTTTGGTCTTCGACTGCAATCGAAAATTTACATGTTTTTTTCAATTGAAATTTGTGAAATTGAAAGTCCACGAATAAGTCCAACTCGAGTCAACTTTTAGAACTTTTCCAGTTAACGTTTATCACTTTTCCATTAATCTCTTGCTTCATCCTTAGACTAGTCATGCCTCACTTCCTTGATTGAAGTTGACGAGAGAGGTGTTCGCCTTTGCCCACCGCTATAAGCCAATAACATTTCCCCTCAGCCATATCAGTGGAAAACCCGCAAGACCCGCAAGCACCAAGTCCAAGTCTTGAGGGCCTTGTCCTCATTTTCCCAGATCCCTTTTGTCCACATTTTTATGTGTCCATATTTATCTAATTTGCATTCATTTATTTTTTGATAATGAAATATCTTGTTCTACAAATATCGCTTTGGAGTATAGAATGTCCGAAGAACAAGATCCCAATTGTCCAGAAAATTTCCCAAAGCTTCAAACAGACCAAACGACATCAGAAGAAACAACAAGAACAAAAGCAAGAAACCATATATTAACGGGATGCATGCCTGATTCTGCCATTAAACAAAATGTCCATTATGGACGTTTTAGAATAAACTCATATTTCCTAGGGATGTATGTAGATAAAGAAATGACGAAAATTTCCTAACAGAAAAATAAAATTAAATCACCAGTCAATTATCCCAAGGATCTTTTGTAGGTCGAAGGAACACGCTCTTCAATTATATCTTCATCAAAGCACGATACAATCAAAGAATTAAGGGCTAGTTACACATTGTTGGAAGCACGGAGCAAAAGCTAATACATTCATTTGGGGAGATCACCATGAGAGAACCCAAATTCGAATCCGTCAACATATCTTGTTGAACTCACATTTATTCAAAAACTTAAGCTAATAAATTATGTGCCAACTAAGATATATTAATTATTCTACACATACTAATTCTCTGACGTGAGACGTATTCTAATATAACTCGTTTGTGCATCTAAATACATTACCATATGCATTAGAACAATCGCACCTTTAGCAAAATGTAACATCGCCACATATAAAAGAGACTAGCAAACTTTCTATTTGATGGTTTAGTCAAAAACAGTCTCTTTACCACCAAATTCATTTGATCGCTCATGTCAAGAATGCGGCCATGATTAAGTTCAGAAACAAAATCGGTCTTTGCATTTGTACGTCATTTCATGTCTAAACACATAGATTGATGATGAGAATAAAATCCACACCACAATACAGCATGCCGGCATCAACAGAGTTACTAGGATTGTTATTTGCAACATGGAGAGAGTTATTGCATGCAAAACCACGCGATTAGACTTTTACAAATTTTTTTTTTGGCTAGTATACTTTATCAAGTGAGTTTTGGCATTCTTAAATAAAAAAGAAAATCAGAATTTTTAAAGGGGTATATGGATGTGTTCCCATTAGGTACGATATCCTGTGCACATGTGATCTATGTGTCATGTGAGGGACGCATGTATGCATCTAGCGCATCTAATAATTCCGAAATTCTAATTATCTTTTTGATTGTCAATTGAAATCGAATGTTTAAATATTTCTTTCTATTAAAGTTTGTGAAATTGGAAGTCCCCCAATAACTCCAAGTCATGTCAACGTCACTTTTCGATTAATCTCCTCCTTCATCCTTAAAGCTAGTCCCCTATTCTCTCTTTGTTTTTTGTCCCGGTGTGCCTCACTTTCATAGATTGAAGTTGAAACAGAGGCGTTTGCCTTAGCCCACTGCTATAAACTGATAACATCAACTTCCTTCAGTCACATCACCCTGGAAAGTCTGCAAGACCCGCAAGACCCGCAAGCACTGAGTTTAAGTCTTGAGGTCCATGTCCTCATTCTGGCAGATCCTTTTTCTCCAGATTTTTATGTGTCCATACTCATCTGGTTGCATCTATTTCTTTCTTTCATAAGCAAGTATCGTGTATTTTTGTTTTTCGCAATCCCAAATTGTCCTACGAATGTCCCAGTTGAGCATATAATGTCCCAAAACGCAGTATAACACGATCCCAATTGTCCTAGAAATGTCGCAAGGTTTCAAGAGACCACACAACACCAGAACAAACGGCAAAAGCAAGAAACTAGATATTTAAGGGGATGTTTGCCTAATTCTGCCATTACACAGAATATTTATAATGGATTTTTTTGTATTAAATCATATTTCTTCTGCACTGTGCATCTGAGGGGTGTATTTAGACGAAGAAATGATGAAAATGTGCAAGAGGAAAAATAACTTCAGCAGTCGATATCCCGAGTATCTCTTTTAGCTAGAAAGAACAAGGTCTCAAATGATCTCTTCATCAAAGGATGATGCAATTAAGGACTTAAGGGCTGGATACACATTATTATGAAACCATGTCCTCCTTCCTTTTATAACAAATGTCAGAAGTTTCAAGTTTATGTGGCACGAGGACCTTATAATTAGTAAAATTTTACGTGATGAATTAACAAGTATCAATCAAAACATATTGTTGTTTAATCAGTAACGCGGTGGAAACGGATCGTAACTTTGCAATTAAGTTGGGAGCTGTAGAAACGATAGAAAAATAAAACGAGGAATAATAAAAGGACACGAGAAATTTTACATGGTTCGATCTGAATGTCGGAACCTACATTCACGGAGAGAACTGATAAATAATTCACTAATAAATTTAAGAATTATAGAATTATAATCACTAATGCTTAAATATTTTTCAATCCTAATATACGCCCAGTACCCACAGTATTTAATATCTCAACTCGATGGACTCTCTTTCTCTTTACGCACAAATATCTCCGAACTCACGCCTCTCTTCTGGAGCTCTCTTCTCGGCTTGCGATCTTCTCCACGTCCGCTGCTCCCCCTTTACAGGAGAATGGACGTAGAAATGAGACCAATGCGCCCTCGTGCAATTAATGATGGCATGTACGGATGACCATCATGCAGCGCCACAAGAAAAAATGACCATAGCTTCTATCTTCCCTCCTCCTTCTTTTAATAACAAAAGGACAAAGAAAGCCCACAAAAGTTGACCAAAAATAGAGAGAAAGAGGACGGCAGCGCTCACTTCTTCCTCTATGGGAATGCATTCACATCATGTGCATGCATTTAAGAAGAAGAAGAAAAATGGACGTGGAGGCATGCACATAAACCCATGTGCAGAATATTTGTCCATCTTCATTTAATGCTCCACGATCGGCGCTATTTCCGTTGAATGCTCCGCGAATGTTCTTTTTTTTTTTAGCGTTGACGGAAAATATTTTCTTTAAAAAATATTTTTCGAAAGTCTTTTCCACATAATTTTCGTGTTCGACAATATTTTGAAAAATATTTTCCCCGAGGTGCAGACCGACGGCTGGGGGCCGGCGCAACGGCTTTGTCGGCTTTTGTGAAGAAGAGAAGAAGCTCGAAAATGATTTCCATTTTGAAGAAGCGGAAATCGTTTTCCATAAACTTATATTTTGTGAGGAGGGAAGAAAATATTTTCCCACGGAAACGTTTCCCCTCCGAACACGAAAACCCGAAAATATTTTCGGGAGAATATTTTCGCCAAACGAACGAGCCTTAGAGTACTAATAAACATTGAGCGTGTGGATTGAGTATTATGTACGGACTCAAATTCAAGACATAATTTAACACATATGACTTATTAAGAAAGCTCTCTCTAACTTGACATAGTAAAATATTACTCTTGGAACATGACCATTATAATTTGATGCGCACCTCAAAAAATTTTAAAATGTAAAAGTATTGATAGATGGAATCATGTATAACATCAAAAGTTGCGAGCAACCAGCACTAATTCAAATACACAACACCACGTCTATCGTCCTTTTAAATCTTAGCATAGTCTTATTCTTAGATTTATATCAACATTCTAACACCCATGCTTAAAAGTTAACATAATAAAAAAACTTAACAACATTTTAGAGTTATAAACGTTAATGTGTCGAATTACGAACTTTTTTTCGGTTAAATTTACCAACTGCTTTTTGAGTTATTTACCACCATGTCTTGGGCGAGAGGGAGAGCACGAGCACGAGAGGGTGTTAGATTGAAGAAGTGAACGCGATTGAGGTGAAGAGACGAAAAGACAAAATGAAGATTAGGGTTTTTCAATTATAGTTTGTTATTATTTTAAAATTTGGGCCGGTGCAGATCTCTTCGGAATTTATCATCTGTAGCCCAATAGCCAGGATCGTCCAGGGAAACGCAACCTAAAAAACAGTCCGTGCTGATTGGGATGGTATGGTATTTTTGATGTCTCGAAATTGAGAAAGGAAACATAATCTTAGGAAAGGAATCCATTGAACATTGAAGGGCCCTATGCCATTATTTCATGTCCTGATTTTGTATTACCCTCAACAAGCAATTAGCAGCAAAAGCATAAATAGGACGTAAATGGAACTTGCTAACATAATTTCACATCTTTAACAAGCAAAACATCATGAGCATAAGAACACAAAGTACTGCTAAATTGTTGAGCAATACTAAATTACAAAATGACATGATTTGCACTCCCCATGCCGTTCTGGTGATGGCCTGCTCGGACAAGCTTGAAATTGAATAAAACAAAAAATTGGCTACTAGTCAAAAGGAGAAACAAGCCAACTACTAAGACGATTCTGCTTGAACAAGAAAACAAGAACTTCACGAGATCAATGACGCATTGGACTGATTGATGTGGAGAACAGGCCTGTTACGCTCTTCTCAGTCCCCTCCTCAACTCAGCTGCCTTCACTGCGACAATCACGTACACCATGTCTGCTTTACGATCCACGTAGCCGAAGTAGGCGCGTCTCCAATTCTTCTTGTACACCAAACCGCCAACAACTCCCCAAAACCCAATTGCAAACCCGAACATTATGACGAGGTAGAACATCACCCTTTCAAGCTTACCTTCTTCATTGGCATCTTCTTCTGGCGCTTGAGGGGCCTCCGCACTGGGGCATTTCTTTTGTAGAGGATCGCCACAAAGTAGAGTATTGTCGGTATAAATAGAAGGATCATCAAGGGTCTGGATTTGATTTCCTCTGGGAATTGGCCCCGCGAAGTTGTTGTGAGACAAGTTTAGTTTGCTCAGTGATGTGAATGCAGAAAAGCTTTGCGGGATTGTTCTTGAAAGGTGATTGTTCGAAAGATCTAGTGACTCGAGCGATTTCATGTCTCCAATCATAGTCGGGATGCCTCCAGAAAGAAAGTTGCGCGATATGTTCCTAATATAGAGTCGGGGAGAACTGGCACGGGCAGTGATTTGAACATCTCATCTACAAGAGCCAGTTCCCGACTGATTACCAATTCCTCAAAATTCTTGAACTTCACCTTTTCCTGCAGCATTTCATTGCAGAACTCAGGTTCATGGACTTCTTGTAAGCTGAAGACTTCACAAAATAGAGCTGTCCCCATGTCAAGTATCTGAAAAACTGGGCTAATTGACGATATATAATCTGTCTGATGGTTCGTGACAAGGTGAGTTGCCTCGTAGATAAGGTCTGTCCACAATGCTCACAAAATCCATTTCCAGAAAAGTGGCCCCTATTACCGAGTCTGATTCAAGGCACTCCTTAGACAGACAATGGTGTGAATGAAATTCCAAAAGGTCCTTCTCGAGCAAGTTCAAAATTTCTTTGGTGTCAAATGAAAAATTATCATTTTGACTAAGATATAGTGGTTCAACTTTGTCAAGAAGCTTTACAAGCTCATATTTCATGGATGTGCTCTTCAAAACTTCCAAACTAATCTCCTCCACTTCTAAAAGAGGAAATTGGGTACATGGGAAGTCCGACAGGCCTGCAACATAAGTATCATCTTCCCAAAAGACAGCCTTTGGCTCTATGAGATACTGTCTACTTGTGTCTCCAAATTTAGTAACCACTTCTTGAGCCTCCAAAGTATAGTTCACTGACAAGCCCAGCTTGGGTGCACCCTGTTGGTAAAACTATAGTGATAAGTACCTATTCTGAGTGAAACTTTGTCATCAAGATCCATTTGCTAGCAAATCACCAAATGCCTTACAGTCTTGGACCAAAATCTTGTTTAAATCTGACGACTGTTTGGTGAAACAATAGAAAGCAACCAGCGGTCATGGTGTTGTGGCTGCCAATGGTTGTCCTAGCAAATTTCTAAATGCAGACTTGGATGATAGTTGTGACTTTGCCTTCTTGCAGACAATCAAATGCCCAATCATCAATAAAGGGATGGACTATGGTCATTTGGGAGGGTCTAACATTCATAAACTGGTTCAATATTTTTCATGTAGAAAGAGAAACATGTTGCAATATGTAACCACAAGGTTTCACTCATCAAAGATTGATTCAAAATGGATTTCCTTCATTAATCAGACTTGCCACTTTTCTCCAGTTTTCTTAAATTATCTACCAGTCAAAACTAATGCTTGCAGTTTGAAGAACGAAGTTCAGCTTAAATGCACCAAAGTTCCAGAGGAACAATAAAATGGAAGGATCTTACGAATTAAGTTGAGCCTGGAATTTACCTCATTGTTTTCAATTTCAAGAACTTCAGAGAAGATGCCTACTGCTTCTTCCTCAAGTAAGTGAGCATTCTCCTGAGGATGACAATGAACAAAAATAGGACTCTGGCATCACACTTCCGGCATATTCACTGTAATTTTCTAACGATATTCAGCATGCCAAGCAATTAGCCAGCTCCGGTGTCTCTAGCTGGAATACTGCAATGCCTTGTGCGCCCTTTTCATTGATGAAACTTTCGCTAATCTGATGGTTGCAGTAACATAGCATCAGGAACACAAACACAAGCTTTTCTAGAGTTTTGAAAAGATAAGAAACAAAAAATTCCTCAGGCACCGGTTCATACTTTGGGAAATTCATCTTCCGTAGCTGCAGTCTTAATAGTTGAACAGCAGTCCAACCTTTCCTTCACTTCAGGGCTTAGCTCTCCTTCTTTCTGCAAGTAAGCATGAACAATCCCCTTGATGGGACTCGACTAGGCAATACTAACTACCAAGAACTCTGCTAATTTGCATGCCAAAAGAAGATACAACGAAAGGTGCCAGCGCGACTAAGCTTTTCCTCGCCCATCATAATTTCCAAAATTTTCATTTTCCAACCAAAACGAGAAGGAACGTTGAACGAGGGAGTACCAAAACCAACAGCCAGAAATACAAATGAATTGTCAATTTGAAACCGACAAGTCAAACTACTACGCCTCACGGAGGATGAACTGTATTCATGTTTACATAAGTTCAGAGCTAATCCTGGCACAAAATCTAAACAGACAACGCTTTAGAGGGCAGGATCGCACCAAATTCAAACTGAAATCAACAGGTTGAAGCGAGAGCTCGATCTTCAGTTTTTCCCAATCACACGTCAAACTCAAACTCCTATCAGGTCGCTCAACACTACCAGCTTCACTCTCACACAACTAACCAAAACTGGCGAAGCATCACGAGCGAGATCACCGATTACTTCAAGCATAAAACCCCAGCCGAAAAGTCACACATACCTCGATGCTTCCATTTCCGCAACCTTCGCCGCCTCCGGCGTCGACGAACCGAGGAACGACGTCGGTCAGGAACCTCAAGGGAGCGGGTCCGATCTCTAGCCTGCCGAGCTCGAGGGAGGCTTCGATCGCGGAGAGGGAGCCGAAGCAGAGGAGGTCCTGCCCTGAGGCGAGAGGGGAAGCCGAAGGGAGGCAAGGGACCGGAAGGTCCAAGAAGGCTAGGGTTTGGGTTGGAGAAGGTGGCGGAGGAGGAGGATGTCCGACGCTGAAGTAGTCGACGTTGAGGAAGCGAGTTCGCATCTCGTTCAACGGATGGTTCTGAAGAGAGATTTTTGAATTTGGCGCTTCTCCTCTGAGGGCCGGGGCGGGGCGGGCGGGGAGGGGGGGGGGGGGAGCCGGTGGTGGTGGTCCGTTATAAAGGAGAAGGCGAGCGCGAGTTGGCCGAGTTGCAACGGTGAGTCAGCCGAGTGGCTCAACGGGTTACTGGGGGCGATTCTTAGCTTTACTTCTTACTTTTATATGTAACTTTCACTTCAATTAAAAGGTAATAAACATTATGCGACTTTACAAGGCAGTTTTTAAAATATTTTAAAAGGTTTCGAGCGCTTCAAATCGAATAAAAGAGAAAACATGAGTTTGGCAAGATTAAAGAAAAACGAAGAGTTAAAAGTAGAAGTCATTTCACGTGTGTGGTGGCTAGCACGTGTCGCCCCCAGGGTTTACCTCCCGGCTGTCGGCCGTGCAGGGGTTCCCTGGGTCATCAAAAAAAAAAGAGTAGAAGTCATTTTAGATTAATTCGGGCAATTAAAAAAAAAATCTTAAAGGGTCAATTTAATTTTTTAAATTTACTTAAGACTGACTTTTACCAATTTAGTTTTAAAACATTTTAATGATTTTATGTTTTTTCTTCTTTTCTTTTTTCTTTTCTTTTTTTGCTTTTTATTCCTATAAAAATATTTTAGTCATTTACGCTATTCAACTATTTATAATTTTGATTACCTTATAAGAGTGAGTTCTTACATTAATTACTATTTTAGTCATTTCAGTCTGTTATGTCAAATCTTTTCTCTTTTTTTTTTTATATAAATTGCCATTCAATACCTCAATATGGGCTTGAATATTTTCGTCCCAATTAAAAAAGAATGAAGTCGAAACTTTAAGTTACAATCAATTCACTTTTTGTGAACGCATTCAGCATTTCCTTGTATGCGTATTGACATAATGGAAAGTGTACCATGTTATATAAGGTAAATATAATCCTATAGATAAGTTATTTGTGATATGATCTCACAAATAAAAGGAGAATTGGAGCAAACTGCACGTGGAGCGCTTATACGTAGCTTGTGGTCATTGAATTAATCTACTGATTTGTATTCCTAAAGCGGGCTTTTCAGCAAAGACAATCATTTACACAGTGATGCATCTGCATCATTTTCATCATCATCCAAGCTCTGCCTTCTTCAAAATATCAGCAACTTTCGCTCAACGTCTAATAGAAAGAAAAAAGCTACAGGAAGTTTTCGCTGCTCAACCGCAGTGATCTACTCTTAACGCTCCTTAAAATCAGCTAAACTGACCAAAAGCATATTGTTTGGGGTCGTTCATAAACTAACAGCGGATAAAAGACAGGTCCTTCTGATATAAGGTATAGGAGTCAAAAAAATTGGTGTTCGAATTAGTCTGCACTCACAGAATGAAAGAAAGAAACAGCTACTTCTATCTGTGTCCATCGGATATATACAGTGACAGTATACACAAGACTATGTACTCTGCTTCCTCAAAGGGCCCTTGATGTGAATGCAACCCGCCTACAGTGCTCCAGGAAGCCCATAAATATCCATTGCCCGGTAAACAACACAATGCGACATACACTTCATGAATACTCAGTGATCTCCTGCAATATAAGCATAACTGAGCATTCAGTATATTGGCATACAAGCTAAACCGTATTAACTGCTCTATAATGTTTTCTTAATTTGTCCAAGGCAAGCTACATTGGGTGAGTTCATTGGCCTTAATAGATCTTTGCCAAAGCGAGGAATGGGTACAGTGAAGCAAGATGATGCATCAGCATTGAGTAGTATTTGACAGTAACTTGAAGGTCAACATCAATAATTGAACAATATTGAGGTTAAACATGGATAGCAATGCAGGAAAATACATGATGATCATTCAATATATTATATGGGATTGGGGACTGTAACAATAACGGCAGCTGGGCCTTAGCCAATAAGTAGGCTCAGTGACAAGGATCCTCTTTACATGTTACGTAACAAGATATCAACAGAAAAAAACAGGTGAAAGGAATAAGAAAAAGAAAACATGATTTGAAGATTCCAATTAACATGTCATCAAGCACCTAAGCCCTCCACAGGTACTCAGAACCACATTAAACACCCCCGCTGACTTATATAGAATCAGATCCTGCAAAAATGTTCAACTCTATCCCCTGCCTGAATATAAAAGGGTTTAGTTCCCAATCTCCCATTACTTCGCAATAGTCCCTTCTCCACAAATCAACAGTATATCCAGGAACAAGTCAAGCACAAGATGCATAATTATCAGATCCCATCTAGAAATCTATCTACATATATATAAGGATAAAAAGATCATCAAGCACTTCCCATTCGTTTAATGAGATTTCCGAATTGCAACAGAATACAGGGCTCGTTCTTCTCCAGTTCTAAGTGATCTCATTTCTCATAGTCAATCTACACGATGGTCATATTCATTAAAAGGCGCTTGATGCAATCTTATATGGAGAAATGAGGGACAAACGTTAGCCCAGTCTCCAAACTAGTTTTGACAATTCACCTCGTGTAAATGGTTAAAATGCCACAACAGTGCCCCAAGGGTAGCTCACTTTAGAATGGATTTCTATGACAACTAGAACATATGAAATTATACGAATTAAAAAGCATACATTTCACCCACCATGCTTCCCCACAGCAAGATAAGAATCTAAACCGATCCCAGGTAAAGCAAAAGTGGAATTCAGATAGCGAAACTCCACTAAATTGAAAAGCATACATTTCACCCACCATATTTCCTAACTGCAACATAAGAATATAAACCGATCTAAAGCAAAAGCGAAAATCGATAGCAAACCGCACCGAACCATTAACTTAATTCATGATTTTATTGAGCAAGTATAGAACAACAAAGAACGCAGGGTACTCCGTTCAACACACATTCCAATTCTCTGAGACTATCATAATCCACATATAACACAATCAGCCAATCCACACTATCAAACGCATACCAGAACAACAAAAACATCGAAGCCCTAACCTTTTGTTGAGGAAAACTCCTAATAATTTTGAAGTTGACAAAACCTTCCACATAATTATAAGTCTGATACTTATTCTGAACTAATTTATTCTAGGTATTTATATTCTGGAAACTCAGAAGGAAGTTATTCAGACTTTACAAGTTGTCAAGTATGTTATTGAAGACCCACATAATCTTAGTTCTGAAGATTCAGACGCTGAAATTATTCAGACGCTGAAATTACTTAGACGCAGAGATTATTCAGATGCAGACAAAGAAATTATTCAAACGCAGATGCAGAAGTTCTTCAGACGCAGACGCAGAATTCAGAACGAGACATAACATCTAGTGATCTGGTATGGATTTCACAGAAGGAAAGTTTTGATTGTCTCAATCTCAATCAAATTGATTGACAATCAAACATATCGACAAGAATGCATTACAATGGACAAAGCTCTACTTATAGAAACCAAGATTCTGATTGTATGGGCGACCAGAATCAGCGGGATTCAGAATTTGTCATCCAACGGCTACTCAATCCTTATTATACAAATCTGTCCAAAGTGAAGATTGGAAGATGATCCTCTGAATGCTGTCCAACGGCTAGTTTGGAAGTAGATGAGTATTTAAGGAGATCAACGAGCAGCAGAAGGAAGTACAGAATCAAGAATCATCAAGTCCAAAGTCTGAGCATACTCCAATCATTTCTCTTGTCGTTCTGAGCCAAACATTAAGATCTTGAGGGACACTTTGTAAGAGTGACTGTGTGAGATAGAGAGTCCTCTCATATACAAGAGTGTTAACACTCAGAAGTTGTAATTCCTCTTGATTACATAGTGAAATCCAGCCGGTAGGCTGTAAGCGTGGGAGAGTGGACGTAGGCTTGCTATAAGCCGAACCACTATAAACTTGTATGCAGATTCTCTATCCCTTATCTCTTACTTTACATTCTGCACATCAAGAGCACCATCTATATAATCTGTCTTGAATCTGAATTTTATTCAGACTCTTCTGTGATTTATTTTGTTTCCGCATAAATTATCAAAAATTGTTTAAGATCACCTATTCACCCCCTTCTAGGTGACCCTTGCTAGCTACATCAATTGGTATCAGAGCAGGTTGCTCATTTATTGAAGTGTCTTACTTATGAGCTAACGATCTATATGGCTAGCTATGGTGCTCCAGGGCTCATTGAAGGACAGAGCAACAACAGACCACCATATTTCGATGGCAAGGAATATAGTGTCTGGAAGGATAAGATGAAGGCATTCATAAAGTCAATTGATCACATGCAATGGGATGTCATCATCAGAGGAGTCAATCCAAGATCTTCTGATTCAAAAGAAAAGGCAGATGTAAGCATAGCAGCAGATCCTCCATTATCTCAAACTGAGATATCCACAAGAGAAACCTTATATTCCAAAGCAATTTATTCTCTCTATTGTGCTTTATCACCTATTGAATATAAAAAAATTGCTGCTTGTGAATCAGCTAAGGAAATCTGGGATACTCTCCTTGTTACTTATGAAGGAACAGATCGTGCCAAGGAAACTCAAATTAATCTTTTGCTTGGTCAATATGAATCCTTCAAAATGAAGCCTGGAGAATCAATTGCTGATTTGTATGATAGGTTTACTGATATAGTAAACGGTCTTGCTTATCAAGGACAACCAGTTCCAGATGCAATGAAAGTCAACAAACTTCTGAGAGGACTGACAAATCAGTGGGATAACATCAAAACATCTCTTCGAGAGACACAAAGGATCAAGCCTCTATCAGTGAATGAGTTAATTGGAACTCTTCAATCATATGAGACTGAGAAACGGAATGAGGAGAATGAATCCAGAGGTAATAAGTCAATTGCTTTGAAGACTAACATTGATTCTGATGCAGATTCTGAAGATGAAGATGTTGACGATGAAGAACTAGCTCTCTTTATAAAGAAGTATAAGAAAATGAAGATCAAAGGAAGAAACCTCAAAGGTAAGAAGCCTTTTGAGAAGAAGAAGTCTTTCTATGAAACAGAGAGATCAAAGGATGTTATATGCTTTCAC